GGCCCCCCCCCCCCACTTGCTGCACGGGGCAGCACACCCTGCCCGGAGTGCCTGTCCGGAGCTCGCACACTGGGAAGCCCAGAGGCAACGGTGACAAACACTGCCTGGTGCCTTGTGCTGCAGCTGCTCGTAGCCTGTGTGGGGCTGCCTGTGCCTGCTCAAAACAAAATGAGGGCAGGGGGTACATGGCAGGATGTCCTGCTTGTGCCCCTTGCCCCCCAGCCAAAGCCCCTGCCCCCCAGCCTGGGCTCTGTAGCCGTCAGTAGCTACCTAGAACCTGGGCCAGCTGCAAACATCTGCTGCCTCTCCACCCTGGGCCCTGCCTATGCCTGCTCGGGATAGCCCCGCATGGGCTGCAAGCAACGGCCACAGGGTGGGGGTGGGGCCACTTTTCCCTGCACTCAGCACCAGCTCATTCCCTGCCACGGAGCAGGGGGTCGGGGCTGTGCTCTGCCCCCAGCCTGTACTGCGGGGGGCACTGGGAGTAAGTGGGTGCACGGGGCCCACACCAGTGTCCCAGGGCCAGCGCCAGCAGGGCCCAGAGCAGGGCAGCAGGAGCACAGGGTCCCGACTGGCAGGGGCTCTATGAAGTTGGGCCAGCTCCCCCCTCTCCCTGCTGGTGCAGCTCAACCCGGCTCCACAGACCCCTGCCAGCCTGTGCCGCTCTGGGTCCCTCTGACGCTGGCCCTGAGACATTGGTCCCAAAATAGCGGGGCACCCATGCAGCCCTCGACAGCTTGCCAAAACTGGGTAAGCAGCCCTGCGCCTGAAATAATTGCCTGCTCCTGCTCTATCCTAAACTTAGTCTCTTTGCCTCCTCACTCCCCCGGGGGGCTGTTCTAGAACCTCACTGCTCTGATGGCTGGAAGTCTTCTAATTTCCAGCCTAAATTAATTCAGGGACAATTTATGCCTATTTGTTCTTGTGCCAATATAATCCCTCGTTTTAGCGCTTTTCCTTTCTTGGTGTTGTGCTTTCATGTATCTAGAGGAAATGATCACATCCCCTTTCAGCTTTTTTTTTTTTTTGCGCTAATCAAGGTAAGCTTTTCTAGTCTCCTCTGACACAAAGCTTGCCAATTCACAGATCATCCCAACAGCCCTTCTCTGCATATGTTCCAATTTGAATACATTTTTTCTGAACATGATACCCAAAACTTGTGCACTGTGTTCTAGATGGGGTCTTTTTAGGGCCTTATAAACTTCTTTTAAGATTCCCCTACCTTTACTAGAAATACTTTGACTGACACATAATTGCATTTGCCTTTTTCACAGCCATACCACACTGATGGTTCAAACACCCTGTAATTAGCAAGTACCCTTGCCTCCTATATTATTTCTAATATATATCAGTTGTTCTTGGCATTATTCCCCAGTGCATGATCTTTCACTTTACACTGAAGAACTCATCCCAGTTCTACTACTGTTGTCCTCAAGGTCATCCTGTCCCTCCTGTGTCACATCCTGATACTTCTTGCTGGTGATATCTCCTAACTTCATGTCTTCAGCAAATTTCATCAGTAGTCCTACTTTTTTGTGCCAAGGTTTTAAATAAAATATTAAACAAGATCAGTTCCTTGACTGATCCATGAGTAACTTCATTATTTTTTCTTCAGCCCAATACTTCTTTCCACACAGCACCGATGTCACCCCTTAATCCAGGTCCTTAAACACTAAAATTTTTGTACTAAACCCTATCTTCACTAGTTTAACTAACAGTTTCCCATATGACACTGAAGTCCAGATAAGAGCTAATGCAGTTTTGCTTTCTAGAACTGTAGCTCACATACTCCTTTTGGATTGCATACATTTTTTCATAGAATCATAGATAATTAGTTGGGTGAACGAAGGGAATGCAGCAGATATAGTGTATCTGGATTTCAGTGAGGCTTTTGACAAAGTCCCACAAGATCGTCTCATATACAAGTTGGAGAAACGTGGACTAGATAAAACTACTATAAGGTGGACAGACAACTGGCTCAATAGCTACAAGCAAAGGGTAATTATAAATGCATCCATGTCAGAATGGCAGGAGACTTCAAGTGGAGTCCCACAGGGGTACACCCTCGGCCCTGGGCTGTTCAGTGTATTCATTGATGGTTTGGATGCTGGAATAGAGAGCTTCTTAAGCAAATTTGCAAGACATGAACCTGAGTAGGATTGGGATCATACTGGAGGACAGGAGTGCAATTCAGAAGGACCCTGACAGATTGGAAAACTGAGCTGGAGTTAACAGGATAAAGTTCAATGCTGAACACGCAAGGTGCTGTCTCGGGAAGAATAATCAAAAACACAAATACAAAACGGCTGACAACCAGCTTGATGGCAGCACCTCAGAGAAAGATCTAGGAGTCTTAGTGGATTACAGACTCAATATCAGCCTGCAATGTGATGCAGCTACACAAAGACAAATTTGATTTCGGGCTTTATGAACAGGAACATTATGTTCAAGACACAGGAGTTCACAGTGCCTTTTTTACTTGGCACTGATGAGGCCTCATTTTGAGTACTGTCGGCTGAACTGGTAAGGGGTCATCAAGGACTAGCCATACCTACGTTATAGGTATTTCCCATGCTTCTGGGCTCGCAGGAAGGAATTGTAGCAGCAAGAGAGAAACATGTCAGGGTTTTTTTCCTCCCACTTTCCTCAGAAGCATTGGGTATTGGCTGTAGCCAAGGCTGGGAGATTTTAACTGGGTTGTGCAAATTCTCCTGCTGAGACTAAAAACCAGAGGCTCCTGGTTAGAGACCCGCTCATCTGCTCAGGGGCACCACATTTCGGGTCGGGAAGGAATTTATGCTCAGAGGGGGGGGGTTGTTGCCCTCCTCTGTAACAAGAGGTGTGGCATTCTTCCTTGGGTTTTTGAAGTATATTTAACAACCCTTGCAGCAAGAAGACGTTGACAGCTCTTGTACCCTTTCTTTAGGGTTAGGGTGCTTTGCCTTATGACTGTGACAGGGTATATGTTGTTTTGGTAATAGGCAAGACAAAGATTTGTATTGGACAGCCTGGAACGGGATGATCCTGTCTCTGGTAGGGGGATGCATAAGATGTCCTCCAGAGGACCTGTCTAATCTTACTTTTCTGTGGTTTTATGATTCTATACATACCCCAAAAGGATGTTGGCAGACAAGGTTCCTTGGGTGAATTTGATATCTTTTATTAGACCAACCCAAATGGTTGGAGAATAGTTATTAAGCAAGCTTTCAGGTTCAAAAACCCTTCATCAGGCTAAGGAAGTTTCAGCAGTTGGTGTGTGCTCTTCCTGGATGGAATGAAAAGTAAAGAAGCCAGAGGCTGGGCTGGGGAGTCAGTTGCCAGGCAGATTATAATGTGTCAAAAATCCAATGTCTATGTTTAGTCCATGATCTCTAGTATCCAGGAGGTTGATGAAATGGAGTTCATAGGCTCGTCTCTGGGAAGTGTTGTGTAAGTTGCCTTTGAGGATCAGGACTGAGATTGGAGAGAGAGTGGTTTTCTTGTGAGAAGTGTGCCCCCACCGGTAATTGGGCATTTCTGTCTTCGATAGATTTACGGTGTGTGTTCATTCTGGTGCGCAGTTGTTGTTTGGTCTCTCCTACATATTTTCCATCAGGGTATTTGGTGCATTGGATGAGGTATATTACATTTCTGGAGGTGCAGCTCTAAGATCCTGGATGCTGATGGCTCTGTTGTGGGGTGTAGTAATTGTGGGGGTGGTGGAGATGTGTTGGCAGGTTTTGCATTTCTTGTCATGGCACGGTCTGGATCCTTTTGGTGTGTTCTGGGGTTGAGGAAGTTTGCTTCTGGTGATGAGGTTGGCGAGGTTCGGTGCTTGTCTGAAGGCTAGGATGGGTGGCTCTGGGAAGATCTTTTTAAGAATAGGGTCTGCCTAAGTCCTTAGACCAACACGGCTACAACCTAAACCCCTGCAACACCAAAAGGATGTTTGTACCCTAGTCTAGGAAACAGCTTTCTAGAAAAGTCAGTGCCTGTATCACAGAAAAAATTATGTTTGTCTAACACACTACCTTTGGTAAATCCATATTGCATATTTTCCTGTTTTCTATTTACAGCAATGTCTTTATTATTTTCTTCTTCAATATTTCTTTTAAAAGTCTTGAGGTGAAACTAATGAGCTTATAGATACCTGGATCACTTCCCAACTCCTCCTTAAGTATATCTGCTATATTTTTTGTTCTCTAGCCTGATGGTAACACCCACAAGTTGATAATTTATTTTGCTTCTCCCTCAGTTTTGGTAATGTCCAGTTCTATACGATCATTTCTGTTGGCCATCCAGTTCTTGCCTCCATGTTTAATATCACCATCCTAAGGGAGAGTAGTTTTGGGGGCATGCCTAGATTATCCTTACCTCATACACACTGCATAGAGGCCCCATTGCTTCTTCGCTTGCTCTCTTACTTATATGGCTGAAGAAGAACCTGTTTACTACATCCTTTGCAAGATCTAACTCAATTTGGGAAATAGTCACTTGATTTCTACATTTCTTGACTTCTACAATACAGCTTTCCTTGCTGCTCAGTCCTTTCTTCTATTCCTTGTAGATTCTCTTTTTATACCCAATTATTCCTCTCGATTATTTATCTAGTTAAACCTGCAGCCTCTTCCCTACAAGTGCTTTTACTTGCTTAGGATGCAAGCCTCACATAAAAAAAAAAAAAAAAAAAAAAAAAAAGTTAAGTCAAAGGTACAAAAGTTCAGGCATCCTCTAAATTCAAATGCTGGCGTTCTAGTTCACTCAAGTTTAAGGTCTTAAAATGGCAAACTTTGACAGTTACACATATATCTTTGGTTATCTTTTTGCATAAATTAACCTGAATCAACTCATGAAAATTTGTTCTGAGGTTATTTTCTATGATCTGCTCTTATGTAATGTCCTTGTTTCTTACCAAAGACCATTCTAAAAGGAGCATCACTTCTTGTGGGATCAGTGATTATTTGGTGAAATCTCTCAGCTATCATATCCATAGGATCATAGGAAAGTAGGGCTGGAAGGGACCTCATATGGTCATCAAGTCCAGCCTCCTGCTCAAGGCTGGACATTCTTGACTAAATCATCCCAGCCAAGTGCCTTCAAACCTGATTTTGAAAGTTTCTAAGGATGGAGATTCCACTTATCTAGATAACCTGTTCCAATATTTAGCCACCATCCTAATCAGAAAGTTCAGTGCTGCAGCTTGAGGCTGTTACTCCTAACCCTGTTCCCTAAAGCTACAGAGAAAAGCCCATCTCCATCTTCTCTATAATCATTCTTCAGTATTTGAAGACTGTTATCAAGTCCCCGCCAAGTCTTGTCTTCTTTTCTTCTTGAGGCTAAATAACCATAGTTTTTTCAGCCTTTTGCTGAAGTCTTGTTCTCTGCTGGACTCTTTCCAAACTGTCCACATCCTTCTTGACGTGTGTCCCAAAACTGGATACAGTACTCCAGGTGAGGCCTCACCAGTGCTGAATAGAGCAGAAGAACTACTTCCCTTGATTTGCAGGTGAAACTTCTGTTAATACAACTCAGGATGCTGTTAGTTTTTTGGGGTTTTTTTTGCAACAAGAGCATGCTGTTGGCTCATATTTAGCTTATGGTCCACTGCATCCCCCACGTCCTTCTCTGCACTACTGTAGCCTACCCAGTTGTTAGGTAATGGGTATTAGTAGCATTTGTTCTTCAATTTATATCTGGAAAGTTAAAGTCTTCCATAATGACATGATCTTTAGGAAGAGAAGTAAAACTAACAATCCAGAGAATTTCTGTCTACAACCAATTTCAGTCCTGTGGGTTTATAGGAAAGTCCCAGCTCTACCCCAGTGGAATCTCTTGTAGTATCTTTCCCCAAGTGATCTTGTCCCATACAGATTCTGGTTTATCCATGCTGTCCCTTCTTATTTATTTGCAGTCCATCACATGACGAAGTCTGATATAGGCATGGCTCCAGATAAAGGGCTCCCCGCTCACAGAACCCGTCTAACAATATGCTACACGCTTCTGGTCCTGCATATCAGCAAATCTCAAGTAACTTCCCACTCCGGCTTGTTTCAGTAGTGAGTTTGGCCATATTAGTCTGAAGCAGCTCACAAAACATGTTCTGGAGATTTCCACCTCTTCTGTTTTTATGTTAACAAGACAACACGAGAGGTTTTGGTCTCCTTTCAAACCTGGTTTTACAGTGTGAAGTGGAAGAGGAGAAACCATTTCCAACACCCAAACAGAAAAGCAGCAAGCTGGAGTAATAGTCAAGAGGACCTGCAGTGAACCAACACCAGTTTCTTGGCTAAAGGTGGTATATACGCTACATTAGAAAGCAAATGATAGGACTCACTTTAACAGGCCTTTACAGATCCTGTGCCACAGGAGGCTTGATGGGGAAGTATGGTAAGTTCTGTGACAACAGGAGACTCTGAAGCCTGACATCATTGAATGTTTAGGGCTCTCTTACCTGGAGCAACCATGATCTCATTTTTCTTGGAGCGAATTCGCAGGAATGTGAGGTCATTCTGAGGATCAATCTCTCTCACGGTGCTCCTTGCCTTCATGATGAAGCTGTGCATTAAGCCTGCATATTGCATTGTTGTGGAGTTGTCCACGGTGCTTTTGATAGGGATACCTGCAGAAAGATGTGGCAACTGTGGTGAGACAGCTGATAGGCTATCTGGGATGACCCTAATCTTCGTGTACTCACTGGACCCCATTGTAAACCCCTTTAAGTAAGTAGATTTTACAGTAAACATTTGAGATTTAAAAAAACAAACAAAAAAAAAAAACAAAACAAACCACGGGGGAAAGTAAACTGTGAAAAGAGCAGGTGCAGACCTTGAATTCAGACACCTCCTTTCAAAGTTTGAGATCCAAACATCATTACAGTCAGACAATAACTCTTAAACTGTGTTCAATGGAGAGCTTTCAAGCTACATTGTGCTGGTTTTCTCTTACTCCCAGCTGTTTCCATGAACCTCCAGTCTTTGTTTCAAAGAGCATCTGCTCAGAGCAAGGAACAGCTGTGACTAGAAGATGCTAATATTCAAATAAAGGGAAGACAAAAGAACTACCCCTGGGAACCATAGATGGTAGCCAGGCTAAGCTGCTTCTCAGCAACGTGACCAACGCCCTCCATACGTTTGTGTACCCTTGATGGGTTTCTTCTGACTGGGACAGCTTTAGTTTATAGCTAGGCTCCACAAGGGCAGCTCCAGTAGAGGCTGCTGCAGTTACATTAATACAGTGATAGGCAAAATATGGCCTGTGGACCAGATCTGGCCTCCAGAAGAACTTTGTCCAGCCCATGGTGGATCCCTTGGTCCCAACCTGGGCCAGGTACTGTTTGGCTCATGGTGCATCCCACCACCCCCTGGGCATGCAGTGGGGCTGGGACAGCTCTGCAGCTGGACTGCCTTTCTAGGCAGCTGCAGCAGCAGCGTCTCCTTCCAGCTGCCACTGCCACTGGCTCCAGCCTCCTGGTACAGGCAAGAACCCATGCGCACAGCCCCAGCCCTGGCCTGCCTGGTGCCTGCTCCAGACTTGCCCGCCCACGATGAGAAGCAGAAGCTACTGCTACTCAGTGCAGTCCCTCTTCTTCACTGCTGTCGGGCCCTTTATGTTGCAGCCACCCAGAGCCCATGCCCAGGCTGCCCTGCGGCTCCTCTGCACTGCCACCACTGCCCCTCTGCACAGCCTGGAGGCAGCAGCGACAGTGGCAGAGAGGAGGTCACAGAACAAAACCCAGAAGCACCCCCCATGTGCCCTCCATTTTTCGATGAGTCTCTTGATCCCTCTCATGCTCACTCCCCCTCTTGACCCATAAATCTTGCATTCATAGCTGCATGATAGGTCAGATTTAATAGAAGGGTGGAGAGTGCCCCACCCTAGACTACCCTTTAACCTGGTGTTTTGGGCACTCTTCTGGGCATGGGAGATATAGGTTTAAATGCCCTCAGCATGAGGAGGGTCAGAATCCAGGCCTCCCACTTTGAAGGAGAATGCTCTAAGCACAAGTCTGTTATGGAAGAGAACACCACATTCAGGAATCCTGGTTTTCTCTGATAAAAAAATCCCCAATTTTCAGATTAAAAATAGTAACCCCAAATCCACATTTTTCCGTGATTAAAATGAAACACCACTATATATATTTCTAGAAAAGTCAGAGATTGTATCAAGGAAAAATCATGTTCATTTGACACGCTACCTTTGGTAAATCCATGTTGCATATTATCCTGTTTTCCGTTTACAGCAATGTCTTAAATTATTTTCTTCAATATTTGTTTTAAAAGCCTTGAGGTTTAACTAAATGAGGTTATAGATACTTGGATCACCTCCCCACATCCTTCTTAAGTGTAACCACTACATTTTCTGTTCTGTTCATATACAGAGGTGTTTCATTTTAATCACAGAAAAATGTGGATTTGGGGTTACTTTTTTTAAGCCGAAAATTGGGGTTTTTTTTTTATTAGAGAAAACCAGGATCCCTGTTCATCACCACCCTCTCCAGCTGTGTACATCAGTGCATGTTAGGTGCATTCCAAGCATGATTACTGAATCTGGCCTTCAAGGGACTTGGGTAAAAGGACAATTAGTCTGTGAATCTCCAAGAGACTCAGGTATAAGATAGAGATGAATAGCTCAGCAGTTCCATGATGGTAGGGTCTCAGAACATATGTAGCAGAGCTTCAGGCATATAAAGAACAACTCATAAGAGAAACGTAGGTGTTTACAAACTCTGAGGAGCCCAGGAGGTTAAATATGTAGAGGTAATTGGACGTATGTACCCAAATACCACCTCACTCCCTTGTCAAGCCTCAAAAACACTCAGGTGCCTACATTATTTCTTCAGGTCACAAAATGAGTCTGTAGCAAAGCAGGGAACAGAACTCAAGTCTCCTCACTTCTACTACATTCCTCTATGCACTGACAATACAGTCAAATTGCCTTTCTGGGGAAAAGAGAACTTGTTGAGATCATTTGATCCATTTTTAAACAACAGCTTCACTGGTCCTTAAACTTCCTTTTCTAATTAAACAACATCCTTACAGAGCACAACCAGACTGGCATAATACCTTCTGAATTAACAATAATGATTCCTTGGACTCCTTTCTGACTCTGAATCCGCTTTAGTGTTTCTTCCACCTCAGCCTGCAAAGGAAAGAAATGACAGAAAATAAAGCATCATGATGTCTTAAAGGTGTAATTTGCCTCCAAATAATGTTCTGTAATAATATATCTAAAAATAAAGCTGAGCCATTGAGATGATTCAAATAGATACTACTCATTTTGTGAGTGCAAAGCACAGCTATCGTTGGGACTACCATATCATCAAGGCTTTTAGTTGCTTTCAAGCCCATTGTCTTCTCTGAAGTCGTTTGTAATAACAACCCTTTGGAAGCTTCAAATCTGTTCTTTAATCTTTCCCTCTCCCCTCCTCCCAATACATCACACGTTCATTTCTTATCAGAGGTTTGCTTAGGAGTGCAAGACCATGGAATTGGTCATTATTGGGCGAGTCATTTGGGCTGCTAGACCTTCTTTTAATATTTGTAGTCACACTATGGATGGGATTTATTAATACATTTTAAGGATAGAATTTGGGGTTTATGATTATTTTTTCTTTTAAAGGCAATTAAAAAACATATGCAAAGGGAAGAACCTGGACTGTATCTGTTAGAATTTCTGTTATAGGCTGCTAAATGAGCAATTGAAATCTAATTATTGACAACAGTTTAATTTTACTATTCCACAGTCATTACACAAGATTTGTGCCAAAGTATTACCCATTAGTTGCTGTAAAGTAGCATCAGCTTCAAAAGATTTTGACAATTCTTTTAGAAATACTCAATCTGACATCTGGGAGGTGGATATCTGACCAATCAAAATTTACTTGGGTCCTCTCTAAGGGCACCACAAGATCAAGTTAATCATGGGTTGACTTTACACAGTAATGAGGATCACCCCTTGAGTGGTTCTGGGCACACTCAACCCCCATTAAAGAAAATGAAGGCACACAGGAACTTTTCAGAAGCAAGCAAAACAGACTTTTACCAAAAAAAGGGAAAGGAAAAGGGAAACCATGGCAAATGAGAAAAGGCAATGATGTCTAAAAGGCCAGGCTTACTCTATAAAACTTTGTTAGTATAGCTATGCTTGTAAGGAATGCAAGAATGAATCAGTAAATCACAGCCCTGCCACAGAGTTGTGCCAGAAACCCCCTTCCCTTTTACATACAACCTACATGCAAATAAATGACTCTCTTTAAAGTTAAAAGTGTCATCCCCATTAGGGGGCGTTACTGGCATAAAAAAAGCTTTACTGGGGTAAACCAACCCTAAGAATTGGCAACTATGGACCTCACAAACTATTGCATTTACTTTGTTTTTGCAAACTACAGCTTGCCTGTCTCACTCAGTATGGAAAAGCAAATGAATATCCAGTGAAGTAAATCATAAAGGCTGAGAAGGAGGGGGAGAAAATGATGAGGGGCTGTACTCAAGTAGGAAGTAAGAATACAGCTGGCTATCAGAAAGATAGGTTTACTGAAGAAGCAGTGCAAGGGAGTTCATTGATTAAAAGAAAAAAAAATGTCAACAAAAAGGGGCAGTCAAGTTCTGTGTGCCAGAGCAGCCAACAGCAGCTGTGGGTTAGGGTGGAGTGAGAAGCAATGCAGTGTGGGATGTCTGAAGGACTGATCAGACCCTAAGGGAATGCTTAAGAGTCTACATAACACTGAACCATCTCAGGAAAATTTAAAATAGTTTAACAGGCTTGCTTATCTGTCTGCTTAAGGTTTAAACTACATTTAAGCTGATCTGTGTCATGCACATCCATGACCTTACAATAAAAAGCTTCCCTTTACAAAGTCCTTAAGATTTCTTCAGAAAAGCATCTGACAGACTATCAGCTATGGCTATGTCTCCATCTCCCTGATTCAGCCGCAGAAAGCTCTGGCTGTAGCCAGCAGCTACCACTTGCAAGCTCTCTCAAACACATGCACATGCCTGTGCACCTCTGACTGCTGGGCTGGGGGGCCACTCTGGGAAGGCAGCAGCTACTAACTGGACCACAGTAGGCAAATGAAGGCAGGGAAGTGTTTTCAAGCACCAGGAGCCAGTACCAGGTAATAAGAAAAGCTGTACACCCCCATGGAGTGGAAGAGTTGATTTGCCAGAAGGGAGGGTCCTGCTGCTGGTGAGGGGCACTGAGATGCATGCACTCAGATTGCTGTCAGTAAAACTTTACAGCAGGGCTGTCCAGCTGGCAACCCACGAGGGGTTAACACGCAGCCCCTGGGCCCCACTATGCTGAAGCAGCAGCCAGGATCTTGGGGCTCCTCCTCCCTCCCTCTCCTAGTCGCCACTGCCTGACCCAGGCCCAGGGGACAAAGCAGCGTGGTGCAGCCAGGAGCACCCTGCAGGAAGCTGCAAGCGAGAGGCTGCCTGTCCCCACGGGTACGAGGCCGCCC